CAACCCTCGGTGTTGCTCCCGTGCCTCGCTCAGCCAGTGAGCGGGAACCGGTCTGTATGTGGGATCCGAACCCTCGGGCAGGAGCGCCGCCGTGCTTCCCAAGCGGCGCACTATCCAGTGCGCCACCGGGCCAGCCCACACCTCTCGCTCTTTCTCGCTCCATCTCTGAGCAGACAGCGGATGGAGTGTTCCCATGTCCTCCCACTCCAGGCCTGCCTCAGCCTGGGAGCGATGTGTGGGTGCCCACTGTCGCCTGCTGGCAGGAGCGGTGCCCAGGCTGGGTACCCCCGGAGCTGTTGGCACCTCAGCCACCTGGCACTGGGATGGGGGGTGACAGGCAGCCGATGGCTTGAAGAAGTGCTGCCAGCGGCTTGAGAATCCACGTCATCCCCATTTGGAATCCCCTTGTGAGCCTCCATCCGGCACCCTCCATCTGCCCAGGCCCGTGCTGCTCCTGTGGAGAGAGCTGGCTTCCCTTTGCCAAGAGAGATGACCGTCCAGGCTGGCCCAGGCCCTGCCTGCCCACCTGCCTGGGTCTCAGGGTGACAGTAGGGACCATCTGGTGCAGGCTGCGGGCTCCAGGCTGTCTGCCTTGGCCCCCCTCCCTGGTGGTTAGTAAGCACGTTTATCAGTGGAACCATGACATGCCCTCTGACATCAGCGTGGTGACTCACAGGGGATTTATGGGAGCTGAGGATCTCGGGACTGCGCCATGCCATCCTGGACAGAGGGGGTGGCACACACACGCATGCGGGGATGCACTGGATGCAGGAGCTCCACTGCAGTTTAAAGGAGGGTTTAGAAGACGAAGCACTGTGCTCTCCCTAGGGCCCAGGATTCCTGCTTCTCGAATTTCCTGCACAGTTACATGTGTGCCATTTCTGGTCACGCCAATTTTCTCCATCTTGTTTGTTAAACACAAACAGAGCCAGCCTCCTGACAGGTTACATCAAGTGTTTTTCTTAACAAATGCGTCACCAAAACCCCATGGTGACAAAAGTGCAGGTAGCCTCATGCAGGACCTAACCAGTAAGCTGGATTTTCCCACATAATCCTCTGGGAATTATTTGTACATGGTTGAATTATCTTTTAACGCCTTGAAACTCACGAAACAAGTGCTTAAGCCAGTGAGAGCCACACATGCCCTGCTTTTGGGACCCTTCCGTGTTGTTCTGCAGCACCCTAAATTTTAAAGTTGTTTAGGGGTTTTTAGGATCCCTGATTCCTCTGCTCGTCACCTTGGCCTCTTTGCCAGTCTTGAACCTGCCGGGCATGCCTTACCCAGGCAGGACCTTTGCACTCTCGAGCGCTCTGCCTGGGTGCCTTCTTCCAGCGTAATCACGTGGCTCGTTCCCGTGTACTCTTCTGCAACCCTGTCTTGAGAGTCACCGTCCAGCGCACATGGGCCTCACTTCTTCCTAGCCTCAGGTGTCCTTGTAACACAGACTCACAGCCGACAGGCAGCGCATGTCACTGTGCCTCTTCCCACAAGGATGCTCTGCTGCGTGAGGGCAGCGGTGTTGCTCCAGACACAGCCCCGGTGGGAGTGGCTGCATTGTCCTGTGAGAGGGGACAGATCAGGCCCCTTCCACAAAGCTGGCATTCAGTGATGATTTGTGAATCAATGGTATCAGTCCCCCAAACCCCTGCAAAAATTCACCCTAGGGACGCCCTCTGTGAGCAGAAGAATCAGGACTGTGTGACTTAAGCTCAGGGATGGGGCTCTCTGAACCCCGAAACCCTCAGTGGAGGTAGATACAGTACTGGGAAATAGAGCTCAGTGTCCCTGAGGGCCACCATCAAGGACACGGGTGGCTTTGCATCTGAAGTCACAGGTCTTTATGCCACTCCACCTCATGCAGGCTGATGTGGTATCCCTAGGGGCTCCCCACCCAGGGTGACTCTGCCCCCCAGGAGACACTGTGTGTGTTTAGGGACATTTGTGATTGTCATGACTAGGGAGGGAATTGTTACTGGCAGGGAATGGATGGAAGCCGGGGACACTGCTCAGCAACTGCAGTGCCCAGGATGGCCCCACCACAGAGAGCAATCTGGCCTTGGATGTCCACAGTGCCCAGGGGAAGACCTTGCGTGTCCCCAATATTGCTCAGGAAGGCCCAGTTAATTTCTTGAGGAAGGAAGGTAAGCATTTCAACTCTAAGATTTAGAATTATGTTTAGAAATCTTCAAAAGCCTAAAATTCATGTTGTTGATATTTCCGTGTATGTAAAATATTTGAATATTTGTTATCTTAAATACTTAATATGGGAGATAATCTGGTCTGTTAGAATACCAGGTAAGCCTGCTTAAAATAGCTCATTTACAAATGAGATCAACTTTTCAAAGGCCAGAATTTTCATTTGTAACTTTAATAAATTATACTTTAATTTTTAAAAAAATCAGAGTTCTCCCCAAATGATCCCTCCCATGTGCAAAACTTGCAGGAAAGGACATCAGAGCCCACGCCTGGAGGTTGGTTGTGAGTGCTGTGTTGGTTGGTCAGTGAATTCCCAGTGGTGCAGGGCAGATTGGAAGATCATATGTATATTTTACCCTTACAAGAGTAATTGAGTTGTCCTCAAGAGGGGACCAGTCAGGCCCCTTCTAGGCTCTGAGGTCCTGGTGATCTTGTACTCGGGCTTCTGGTGCTTTGGCCAGATGGCTGCTTCCGCTCCTGGCTAATTTGCCCTCTTGATTTTCAGCGCCAGGAAGAGGCAGGGTGAGCTCACAGTGGCCCAGGGCCGTGTGAAGGACCTGGAGTCGCTGTTCCACCGGAGTGAGGCGGAGCTGGCCGCTGCCCTCAGTGACAAGCGTGGCCTAGAGAATGACGTGGCAGAGCTGCGGACCCAGCTGGCCAAGGTAGGCCCTGGGCAGCTGCTGTGCCCTCGTGCTCCCAGTGTGGGATCAGGAAGCCTCACCAGTGTGGTACAGCGCGGGCTCGTGGGGTGTACAGGTGCTGTGGGCCATGTCGGCAGGGTGTGTGCCGCACATAGACTGTCACCTGGGCTTGTTGTCCTGTGTCTCCCAGGCAGAGGACGGTCACGCAGTGGCCAAAAAGCAGCTGGAGAAGGAGACGTTGATGCGCGTAGACCTGGAGAACCGCTGCCAGAGCCTGCAGGAGGAGCTCGACTTCCGGAAGAACGTGTTTGAGGAGGTGAGTTTGGGGGCCCGGCCCTCAGCCTGACCCAGGCCTGTGGGTGTCCTGGGGCTGCTGTGACAAAGGACTGCAAACCAGGCAGCTTAAAACAACGGAGATCTACCCTCTCAAGGTTCTGGAGGGCAGAAGTCCGAAGTCAAGCAGGCTGCAGGGGAGGGTCCTTCCTGCCTCTCCCAGCTCCTGGGGCTCCAGGTGTCCCTGGGCCTGTGGCCGCGTCCCTCCAGTCTCTGCCTCTGTCTTCATGTGGCTTCTTCCTCCTCTGTATGTCCCTGTCCTGTGTGTCTCTTATAAAGACATTTGTCACTGGATTTAGGGCCCACATGGATAATCCAGAATGATCTCATCTCAAGACCCTTTATTTATTTATTGTATTCGTCCGTTTTTGTTGCTTATAACAAAATACCTGAAACTGGGTGATTTATAAAGAAAATGAAATTTATTGCTCACAGTTTCTGAGGCTGGGAAGTCCAAAGTCCATCTGGTGGTGGTGACAGTGACCCAGGGGTCTCACATTGCAAGATGGTGGAAGCAGAGAGAACAGAGAGAGAGAGACAGACTCTCCTCTTCTTTTAAAGCCCTCAGATCCACGCTCCTGACCACCATTTTTAATCCATTTACTACCACACGGTCTTACAATCCAGTCACCTCTTCAAGGCTCCACCTTTCAATGACCATAATAGGATTTCCCACCCTCTTAACAGTCACAGTGGGGGCCAAGTTTCTAATACATAAAACTCAATGTGAGCTTCATAGAGTTTTTGGGGGACATAATCCAATACATGCACACATATCCACATGTGTACATACATACATTTATTAATCTATCTGTCTGTCTATAGTGGCTGGCCGATATGGGGATCTGAGCCCTTGACCTTGGTGTTACAGGTGGCACTCTAACCAAGCTAACCAGCCATGTACAAAGATCCTATTTCCAAATAAGTTCCCATTCACAGGTTCCAGGGTTCGGGACTGCGATGGATCTTTCTGTGGGCCACTGCTGAGCCCACCACAGGGCCTCCCTGTCAGGGGGAGGGGTGAGGCCCGTCTGCTTCCTTCCCTCCCCTCCCAGCCACCTTCTCCCACCCTGCGGCCTCCTAATCTCTGGGCCTGTGGCTCCTTGGGATGGTTGGGCATGACTGGGGTCCCCAGCAGGTCAGCTGGGATTTCTGTGACCTCTTGTCCTCTGGGATGGGGGGCCATGGTGTGGGGGACCTGGCTGCATGAGATCTTTCTGACCTCATCCATCACAGAGCCCATTGTGTTGTCATGGCTCAGAACATAACCCTTGGGCCAGGCTGTGCCAATTCATGCAGTCACCAGGGAGAGCTACTCGTCGGAAGGATGCCCATGCGGCTGAGGAGCAGGGCCCAGCGCTGGCCGGGCCCCGTGAGAGCACAGGCTGCCTCGGGAGCCTGGGAGGAGGCCACCGGGGGGTTGTGAGGGGGCCTGTGGGGGAGACCATGAAGAGACCCCTGAGGGCCACCGTGGGGCGCTCTTGGAGGGAGCTGCTGCAGGGGGCAGTGCAGAGGCCCGTGTGGGGCATGGGGGGCGCGAGTAGTCGCGAGGGGTGCCAGGAAGGTGGGTGTGCTGCTCACAGGGCTCAGCTGGGCTGGGCCACCAGCCTCACCAGTGCTTTATAGAGATGATTGGGTTCCTTTAGACACATTTCTGCTGTTTTTGTAAACCAGTCACACAGAGATAAGTGACGAGATTTCTGTGCTAGAGGAAGTTTTGTAGTGTGAGAGCTGGAAGTTTCCTTCCCATGTGCTGTGTGAGCTCAGGTGTAGTCTGCTCTCTGCCCTAGCGCTTGACTCCACATGCGTCTGGGACAGCTGCCGTTGTGGTACCTGTGCCTCGTGGCCTGGGGATCTTGTCACTGTCAGTGTTACGTCCTACCGCTGTACTGAGGACAGATCTGCTGCCCCCTGTATCTCAGGCCCTGGTCACCTGGGTGGGCTCTGCCAGCAACTCATTTTCTTAAGTAACAGATTTTATGATAAATAATTCCTGTACCATAAAGTTCACCCTTTTAAAACGTACGGTTCAGTGTCTTTAGGATCTTCACTGGCTTGTGCAATCGTCACCACTATCTAGTTCCACAACATTCTTATCAGCCTAAAAAGAAGTCCCGTCCGCATCAGGAGTCACTCCTCATCCCTTCCCCAAGCCACAAATCCACTGTCTCTGCGGATTGGCCTGTTCTGGACCTTTCATGTAAATGGAGTCACATACTATGCGGCCTTTTGTGTCTGGCATCTGTCACCAAGCGTGTACCAGGTCCATCCACGTGGTAGCGTGTGTTAGAGCCTTGTTCCTTTTCATGGCTGTGTAATATTCCACTGTGTGGATGGACATTTGGACTGTTTCCATTCTTTGGCAGTCGTGAATCATGCCACTGTGAACATTTGTGTATCAGTTGGTAATTTGTGACCAAGTAACCAAGGTGACTGCCCGGAGGATTATAATTAGGACATTTTAAGCCCTCCCTTGGGCCTTATGCTTGAGACCAGGACAGGAGCTGACGGTACAGCAGGGCTGGGGGTGGCTCCCTCCCGGGGTCTCCAGAGCCTGCCTGGTCAGCGAGGTCACCGTGACTCTGCCCCTAGGAGGTGCGGGAGACACGGCGGCGGCATGAGCGCCGCCTGGTGGAGGTGGACAGCAGCCGGCAGCAGGAGTATGACTTCAAGATGGCCCAGGCGCTGGAGGAGCTGCGCAGCCAGCACGACGAGCAAGTGCGGCTCTACCGGCTGGAGCTGGAGCAGACGTACCAGGCCAAGCTGGACAGCGCCCGGCTGAGCTCCGACCAGAACGACAAGGCCGCCAGCGCCGCGCGGGAGGAGCTGAAGGAGGCCCGCATGCGCCTCGAGGCCCTCAGCTACCAGCTCTCTGGCCTCCAGAAGCAGGTGACACACGAGGGCCCCGCCCCAGCCTGCCCTCAGCTGTGTGGGCTGGGACTCCTGCCTCCAGGTGGCAGCTGCAGCGGCGTCTGCTCCAGCCTGCCCAGCACCCCACTCTCCCGGCCCCTGCTGTCTGGGCCTGTGTGGGCTTCTCACGACCCCAGGGACTGCCCTGACCTGGCCACCTGCCTCCCCAGGCAAGTGCTGCCGAGGACCGGATCCGGGAACTGGAGGACACGATGGCGGGAGAGCGGGACAAGTTCCGGAAGCTGCTGGACGCCAAGGAGCAGGAGATGGTGGAGATGCGGGATGTAATGCAGCAGCAGTTGGCCGAGTACCAGGAGCTGCTGGACGTCAAGCTGGCCCTGGACATGGAGATCAGCGCCTACCGCAAGCTCCTGGAGGGCGAGGAGGAGAGGTGGGCACGGGGCAGGGGACAACGGGGGCAGGACGGGGTGCAGTGGCTGGGGCTCCAAGTGATCCTGCCGGCCCTGGGCCCCCTCCCCCCAGGCTGAAGTTGTCCCCCAGCCCGTCCTCACGCATCACCATCTCGCGGGCCACCTCGAGCAGCAGTGGTAGCAGCGTGTCAATAGCCACACGCTCGGGCCGCAGCAAGCGCAAGAGGCTGGAGGCCGAGGAGCCGGCGGGCAGCGGCTCGAGCGGGTTGGGCACGGGCAGCAGCGGCAGCAGCAGCAGCAGCTTCCACCTGGCACAGCAGGCCTCGGCCTCGGGCAGCGTCAGCATCGAGGAGATCGACCTGGATGGCAAGTTTGTGCGGCTGAAGAACAACTCAGACAAGGTGTGTGGCCACCATGCCCCCGGGCTGGGGAAGGCCCCATGGTCCTGGTAGGGCTGTGTGTCAGGCGGGGTCCTCCTTTTCCAGGATCAGTCTCTGGGAAACTGGAGGATCAAGAGGCAGATTGTGGAGGGGGACGAGATTGCCTACAAGTTCACGCCCAAGTACGTCCTGCGGGCTGGCCAGACGGTCACGGTAGGTGGCGGGTTGGGGAAAGGTGGGTGGGCGGGGCTGGAGACACAGGATGTGGCTGGGGGAGGTGGCACCCGGCTCTGACAACAGCTGCCTGCAGCCCTGGAGTACCTGTGTGACGGTGTCGCCCCATGGGGGCTCCCTGGACTCCTCAGGGATGTACCAGGGGTCTGTGTGACAGTCACAGGCACCGACCCAGGAGACCAACAGGCTTCACATCCCAGCTCGGCCCCTGTTTGCCAAGAGTCTTTGGCCACTGTGAACATGTCTTTTCCTCTGTATCCTGGGGACTCGATCCCTGAGCAAGCCTGAGTGGGGCTGGGAGGTTGAATGCTGCAGGGTAGGGGCCAGTTGCTAACTCCGTTCCCTGGACAAGAAGTGACATTGATGGGAGGCTGTTCTTGGGTCCCCAGGTATGGGCAGCTGGTGCAGGGGTGGCTCACAGCCCCCCCTCAACGCTCGTGTGGAAGAGCCAGAACAGCTGGGGCATGGGGGAGAGCTACCGCACCATCCTGGTCAATGCTGATGGAGAGGTGGGTGCCCGGGCTTGGGGGGTGGCAGCAAGGGGGCTGTGCATTCCCGTCACCCACCGCCTGGCCCGCCCAGCTTCTCCCTCCTCCAGCCCACCCTGCACCGCCAGCTGGGTGCTGGAGTCCTGGGGTGGAGCCTGGGGGCCCGTGGGAGGCTGCAGCCTGGCCATGCTCCTGATGCAAGCGTCTGGAGGGGTCAGGACTGCCCACACCCCAGGGTGTTGCGCATTGGTGGCACTTGTCTCACACAGGAAGTGGCCATGAGGGCCGTGAAGCAGTCCTCGGTGGTACGGGAGAACGGGGAGGAAGAGGAGGAGGAAGCTGAGTTTGGCGAGGAGGACCTTTTCCACCAGCAGGTAGAAAGTCCTGCGCCCACACGTGCACACGCACGGACATGCACACGCACACATGCTGTACTCGCCAGGTCCCCACGAGACGCCCTCCCGGCTCCCGTGGCTGCGGGGCCCTTGGCTCTGCTGATGCCCACAGGTCATGGCCACACAGACTGCCACTTGAGAACTGTCCTTGCCTCCAGGATCTTGCGTGTCGTGTGGGTTCTGTGACATCACAGACCTCAGTGTAGCTCAGTTCCCCCCAGAGGTAGGCTGTTGAAAAGCCGATCCCATCTCAGAGTGGTGCCACACAGTCCCCAGAACGCTCTGTGACCACACTTCCTCCAGTCTGAGATACCAGCCACTTAAACAGTCTTTCGTTTAGAGTCTGGGAATCACAGCCGTATGAACTGCACATGTTGTAAGATCCCTCTGATCTCTGCAACTTAAAAACATGACAACGTGTACCTCACAACAGGGATAACGTAAATATGGAAGGTTCTGGAAATAGGGACTGTTGTGGCTGCTGACCTTATCGGGAGCTGAGTTTCCTGTGGTGGCTTAGCCACTGGCCCAGTCCTGCCCCTTCCTTTCTGGGGTGGCAGGGGCAGCCAGTGTCCCCCAGGCTCCCCTAACCACTGCCGTCCTTCCTTCCTTCCAGGGGGACCCGAGGACCACCTCGAGAGGCTGCCGCCTGATGTGAACTCAACACTCTTCATTCTCACATCTTTCCTTACCCAGAGCCACTGGAAACTATTTTTATATCATTGGCTTTCTTTAGTCCTTGATACATTTCTAGAGAATTTTTAAGCAAACTGCCAGAACGTGGGGGCGGGTCTCTGTCGATCTTTCCTGTCGGTGGCTTTCCTCGGACCCTCCTTTGTCACTACTACACCACTGTCCGGGAGACTTTGGTTTTCCCTCCTATTTCACTATTTGGTTGAATTTGAGGCACAGAGCCAGGAACCTGAACCCTGGAGGCTGAAAGGGACTGGGGCTTGGAGCAGGAGGACGCTTCACCGCCTGTGTCCCTCCATCGCAGACCAGGGCCTGGAGGGACAGAGTGCGAAACTGCGTAGGAATTCAGTAGTTGTGGGGTGTGCTTTTAAAGCTTTTTAAAACCAAATTGAGAATTCAGGTTCCGGCCTGGTCCCCGGGGCAGGACTTACTCTGTGGCCTGGGCTTGGAGAGTGTGCCGTGATTCCCGTTCTGATGGCATGGGCGGCAGGCTGGGCGTCTCACCCTCCACTTCCTGGGCCTCGATTCTGAAGCTTTCCACAGTTCTGTTCCTAACCGTGCAGGCCCAACAGGACAGGAGAGGAAACCTGGGAAACTGGGACAAGCCCGTTCTATCTTGTCACCAAGGTGAATGGGAAGGGAACAAATGGAGGGGACACTTGATAACCATGAGTTTCAGAAGTTTTCTGTGTGTAACACAGCCAGTTCCTGACCCTGCAGTGGGAGAGATTTCGGGGTGGGCCACTAGCCTCGTCCCCATTTCCGGCTCTCAGTTCCTGGGGCTGAGTGTAGCGTAACCTCCCTGTTGCTGTCTCCTATATATATACAAGCATATATCGATATTGTAGCTTTTATGTAACTTTCTCGCTGAAATCATGTTTCTCAGACTGACATGCCAATGCCAATGACCCCTTATCTCGATGGCTCCGAATCCCAGTCGAGCTTCTGCTGGCCCGGCACCCCTTTCTGCAATAGCTCACCGTTTACACCCCTCCCACATAGATACACAGAAGTTATTTTTTTAATGGATATTTATTTTTTTACATTGGTCAGTACACAGATTGCCGGGACCCCCATTCAGCGGCTCGCACCAGGGCCGCAAGGACGAGCTGACCATTCTCTGAGAGGGTGGCATGGGGGCGAGGACCTGTCTCAAAGAGCTCTGAGCCTCCCAAACAGCAAACTTCCTTCAAAAAGCGCAGGTCCAGTCTTAAGATGCCACTTCTGAGCCACAGATGCGTGCCCTGCTGCTCCCTGCCCACAGGGCAGCTCCCACCCTCACGCTGCAGCGTGGCTTCCCTTGGGAATTATTTATGGCTGGGAGGGAATGAGAGGCCTGAGTCCCAGGCCAGGAAAGTGCCTGTGGCTGACAAAACGAAAACACTGCTTTGGCACCTAGGACCAACCAGCTGCCCCTTGCTTTTGGAAGTCTCCTTCCTGGTGACAGTTCCCTGCATCGTGTGTCACTCTTTCCTGTGTAAAGTGGATCTTACCAAAGCAGTTCCTCATGGAAGGCACAGACAGGCTACACTGCCATTCCCAGGTCTGGCTGGCCTGCCCTGGCGACTGCCCTGACATGTTTCCCTTGGCCAGACCTCTGAAGCCTCCTGCTCTCCCCTTCCCCATCTTCATAGCAGCAACCACAGGGTACTGGACCAGCAGCCTTGGTGCCAGTGAGGGCTCCAGAGGGTAGGTCCTGGTGGTCCCCAGACATGTCACTGGGCTCAGCCACATCCTATGTATTTTGGAAATCTGGAGGATCAAAGTTATTTGGGTCTATGGTTTACTCAAACTGCTTTCTAGGCCAGTCTCAGGGAATGGGAGAAGGCCCCCCCCGCCGGCAGGTTCAGGTGTCCTGAAGTATGTCCCCAGGCCCACAGGTCCCAGGTGCTTAGATAGGGGTTGCTCCTGGCAGAGGCTACTCACCTCCAAGCTGGTTCTAGTCTTTGCCCCAACCCAGTGTGGACTGGGTGGCCAGCTGGTGATTGGAGGTTGATGATAGTCATTGGTAATCAAATATTTGTGAACACAGTGGAATCCAATTTTTTAAAAAGTTGGCTGTGGCCTGGGAAACAATCTGCACTGGTCTGAAATAAGCTCAGCTGATGCCTCTTAGAACAAAGTGGAAATGATTCCTTTGTGCACACCCATGTCGTGTGACTCCAAGCGCAGTGTCCTTCCTAGAGGAGAGACATTCTCTGCCTGCCCCCGGTGACGGAGGCCCGTGCTGCTGGACCACTGGGTCAGGGCTGCAGGGGGCTCCCTGGGTTGACACTAAACCCCTTCCCACTGACCCCAGGAGCCAGCAGGAGGGGAGTCTGGGGCTAACCCAGAACCTGATCATGCACCAGTTTTCATGACAGTGATGGCTTTTAACTTGGGTTTGTTTTTAATCTACACTTAGCAGTTGTATTTATATTAAAAATCTGAGTCAGAACTGACATTCCTCGTGGACATGCCACTTTAGCTGTCCTCATGTCCCTACGTCAGGCGGAGTGCACAGCACAACTTGCAGATGGGACTGGGCTTCTACCACCCGGGCTGGTTTTTAGATGCATGCCAAACGTGTGGTTTTGTCTGTCCCCCAATAATTTGTAATATACATTTTATGACTGGAAACTTTTGTACAACACTCCAATAAACATTCTGGTTTTAAGTTCTGCCTCTGCGTTTATTACAGCGCCGTTTAGCGCAGACTGGGACTCTGTGCCCAATGAAGTGGGTGTTTAAGACCCGCCGCACCCCACCCACAGCGTTCCTGGCGGTGTATACAGGCCTCAGCCCCGAACGTCCCCGGGGGTGCATTTTATTTTTCTATTCCAGCCTCTGACGCGACTGTGCGACTTGGTCCTTCGTCACGTGACGGAGGCCTGTTGCTCCCGGCTGGCTCCGCCCGACTGCAGCGCGCGGTGTAGACGCGCCCGGTATCTCCTGCGCACGAGCACGGCTCACCCCAACCCTCTGCGACAAGTCGTGGGCAGAGCCTGAATGCGCAGTGACCGACCGACTCCGGAAACCGGTTCCCAACGGGGACGAGCGGCCCTCGCCTGCGCATGCGTGGAGGGCCCTCGCGCGGCCTCATGGGAGTTGTAGTCTGGCGCTCGGCCAGCCGGACTCCATTTCCCGTCGTGCCCTACGAGGCCTGGCTTCCGGCGCGGCTACGGGCGGTCTGCGTGCGGCTGACTTTGCGGAGCCATGGAGAGCGGCTTCGGCACAGATTTCGGGGCCTCCGGAGGCGGGAAGCTGGACCCAGGGCTCATCATGGAGCAGGTGAAGGTGCAGATTGCCGTGGCCAACGCGCAGGAGCTGCTGCAGGTACAGGGTGCGCCCGGGGAGGGGGCGAGGGCGCAGGGGTACCCCCGGGGGCCCGGCGTGGCGGCTGAGGCCTCGCGTGTCTCCACAGAGGATGACGGACAAGTGCTTCCGGAAGTGCATCGGGAAGCCAGGGGGCTCCCTGGACAATTCGGAGCAGGTGAGACCCGCGGGGGTCCGGGGCGGGGGTCGCGGGGCCTCGACCCGGGCGGGGCGGCTTCTGCTCGTGCGCGGGCTAACGGGGCGGAGGGGCGGCCGCGCGTGCGCATTGCGCAGCCCGGGCGGCCTCGTGTCGGGAGTCCCGGGGGCCCGGGCGGTGCTGGGGGTGCGGAGGCCCGAGCTGAGCCGCGCCCCCTGCCCACCCCCAGAAGTGCATCGCCATGTGCATGGACCGCTACATGGACGCCTGGAACACCGTGTCCCGCGCCTACAACTCGCGTCTGCAGCGGGAACGAGCCAACATGTGACCGAGAGGCGCGGCGCTGGCCACCCACGGTCACCCCCTCCCCGTTTCCATGCCCATAGACGTGCTTAGCGAGGCGGGGCCGGCACATGGCACAGTGCTGGGACAGGGGACTGTGCCCCCGACCATGAGTGTGGCTGGGGTCTGGGGGGACCCCGTGCAGCCCAGGGGCACCTGTTTCAGGCCTGGGAGTCGGTGGTCCCTCCCGTGGTGTGCGCCTCTCCCCGGGCAGATGAGCCTTATGGGGACGAAGCTTGTCGGGATGGGGGTGGGTAGACCTCCCTTGAGCTGTGACCTCGTGCGGGTGGACAAATAAACTGCTGGGGGAGGGGTCGAGAGCCCCGCGCATGTTCCCTCCAGGAGATTTGTGTAGGAGATGCCCGCCCAGCCTGGGCTCTGCCTCCCGGGGGTCCGTCTTTCCCTTGGTACCACTGGGCTGTGGGGTCATGGGGTGTGTGTTGTGCGACACAGAAGGGAGCCCAGAAAGTGCGGCTGGTGCCACTGCCCCAGCACCACCATCCGTCCAAACCCCTGGGCCCTGGGGGAGGGACCTGCAGGTGGCCGCAGCTGTGACATGGAAATCCCGAGCCAGCGAGTCGGGGACAAGGGGCTGTGTTTATTGACTGCACCCCGTTCCGTGCAGCACCCCGCCTGGCTCCCCTCCTCGGCTCTGGTGGTCTGCTGGTTCCTGCTGCCTTCGCATCTCCAGTCCAGGGCAGCCTCGCGGCCGTTACTCCTGGATGTTCTGCCCTATCCAGCCTCTCACGGCCGCCACGCGGGTATAGACGCCTGGGAAGTGGGGTCTGCCACAGCCGTAGCCCCAGCTGGTGACCCCAGTTAGCACCCACCGGCCAGAGGCCTCCCTGCAGGCCAGGGGTCCCCCAGCGTCGCCCTGAGGGGAGAGAAGAAAGGGCTCTCAGGAAAGGCCTGTACGTCCCCCACCGGAGTCCCTAAGGCCAAGGGAGAGCTGGCTGGCCTTAGGCCATTACAGGAGTGACGCCAGGTGAGTGACTTCCCCCGTGAGCCTCACTTTTATTGTCTGACAAATGTGTTCAGGGCTGGGATGACCTGTTCATGCCGTGGGCAGGCATTTATGGACACCCGCCACGTGGTCCCAGAGGAAGAGGGCCTCGCACTGCGGCCGCTGTTGGGCCTGCCCCCGTCGCTCGTGTCCACCGTCCAGGGGCCGGATACGGTGGGGCGGGAACTGGTTAGTGGTGGGTGCCCAATAAACAGTTCTCGAGTGAAAGACTGCACAGCCAGAGAGGTGCGCTACTTGGTACGGTTCGGGGAGTGCAGGGAAGTTTGCACCGGAGGGCGCCACCTGGCCGGCGGGCTTTGAGACGACGGGAGCCCCGCCCTTCTCCCTGGGTGGGAGGGACCCCGGCCCCGGGGGTCTCACCGAGCAGCTGTCCACGCCGCCGTGCGGGAAGCCGGCGCACAGCATGCGGCTGCTGATCTGCACCGGATAGAAGCGGCGGCACGTCTGCTCGCTGAGGACGCGCACGGCCGCCTTCTGCAGCTGCCGCGACATCGAGCCTGCGGGCGGGCGACACGGGCCGGGTGGGGCGGGGACCCCCGCCTGACGACGCCGCCCCTCCCTCCCACACTCTCGCGGCCCGGCGCGCCCACCCCCCCCGCGCACCCACCCCCACCCCGCCGCGCCGCACCCCGCGCCGG